TTCAGGGGCCCAAGTACTTACGCCATCCTCTGCTGCTTTCCCAGGCACATTAGCAGGCATCTGGCTTGGAAGTAGAGCAGCCAGGATGCTAATGGACGCCAAAACAGGGGGTGTGGCCTCTACTGTCTGTGCCACAACGCGTATACCCAGAGCTGGGACTTGAATCCAGGCACTTTGATAATGAATGTAGGCATCCCTACTAATGGCATATTTGCTAGGCCAATTGAGTATTATCACTTAGCAACTCAATTATTTAAGATATTTCATCACTGAAAGTAGTCCATCTCCCCCCAATCATTTCCTCTTATAGTTAGGAGATATTGCATACAAGTAGAGGAAAGCCCTATGAGTCGTCTTTCTCATCCTAACTCATTTAAATATTTTTTTCTGCATTTATTTGACTCCTGCCCCAGATTTGAGGTAAAATAAGATGGTAGATTCCAGGAAGCTAATGTGCAGCATGCTGACTTAGTTAACAAAACTGTGTTGTGTATTTGAAAAGAGTAGATTCAAATTTTTAAAAAATTTATAGAAAGGGAATAAATTTTGTATAGTTCAAGATTATTTACTTGAAAGGCAGAGATATAGAGGAGGAGAGAAAGAGACAGATCTTCCATCTGCTGGTTCCCTCCCCAGATAGCTTTAACCAGGAGCTTCTTTTAGGTCTCTCACATGGTTGGCAGGGGCCCAAACACTTGGGTCATCTTCCACTGCTTTCCCAGAGCATTAGCATTGAACTGGATTAGAAGTAGAGCAGCTGGGACTTGAACAAGTGTCTACTTTAGGCAGAAGGCTTAACCTTCTGCTCTACAGTGCCGGCCCCTCATGTACACAGTTTTAAGAACATAATGGAACTTCCCTCTCTCCTTCCCTCTTTTCCACCCTCCTCATTCCTCCTCATTTTTCTTTTTAATTTTTGTAATGACATACTTTAAATTTGCTTTATAATCACAAGTTTAACCCTCCACTAAAGCATTCAACAAGTAAGAGAGTAGATCTCAAATGTTCTCACTAATGAAGGAAAACTAAGAGCTAAGATGGCCACATACACTATGAGTGTCAGTTCAAGTTCTGGCTGCTTCACTTCTGATCCAGCTCCCTGCTAATGCACCTCAGAAAACAGAAGACGGTTCAAGTGCTTTGGCCCCTGCTATGTATAAGGGGGATTGGATCGAAGCTGCTGGCTTCAGCCTGGTCCAGCCTTGCTGGGAGTGAACCAGTGGATGGAAGATTTCTCTCTCTCTCTGTAACTCTACCTTTCAAATAAATACTTTTTAACTTTTATTTAGTAGATATAAATTTCCAAAGTACAGCTTATGGATTACAATGGCTCCCCCCCCATACCTTCCCTCCCACACGCAACCCTCCCATCTCCCGCTCCCTCTCCCATTCCATTCACATCAAGATTCATTTTCGATTCTCTTTATATACAGAAGATCAGTTTAGTATATATTAAGTAAAGATTTCAACAGTTTGCCCCACACAGAACACAAAGTGCAAAATACTGTTTGAGCACTAGTCATATCATTAATTCACATTGAACTACACATTAAGGACAGAGATCCTACATGGGGAGTAAGTGCACAGTGACTCCTGTTGTTGACTTAACAAATTGACACTCTTGTTTAAGGCATCAGCAATCTCCCCAGGCTCTACTCATGAGTTTCCAAGGCTATGGAAGCCCTCTGAGTTCTCCGACTCTTATCTTGTTTAGACAAGGTCATAGTCAAAGTGGAAGTTCTCCCTTCAGAGAAAGGTACCTCCTTCTTTGATGACCTGTTCTTTCCACTGGGATCTCACTCGCAGAGATCTTTCATTTAGGTGTGTGTGTGTGTGTGTGTGTGTGTGTTTTTTGCCAGAGTGTCTTGGCTTTCCATGCCTAAAATACTGTCATGGGTTCTGGTGAAGTGGAATGGACACTATGAGAAACAGTGACTTGATCAGCCCTTGTCATCACTGTTGATGTACAAATTAATGCTTTATCCTTTTTAGTATTTTTTGTTCTACTTAATACTATTGGTTGAGCTATGTAATTAACACAATTATTCTTAGGTGTTTAAAGTTAACTGAAAAGTGATCTTTGTTAAATATAAGAGTGGGAATAAGGGAGGGAGGGGATGTACAATTTGGGACATGCTCAAGCTGACTTGCCCCAAGTGGTGGAGTTAGAAATGTTCCAGGGGATTACAACAGAATCCCATCAAGGTTGCATGTATCAATGCCATCTCACTAGTCCAGGTGATCATTTCAGGTCACAATAGATCATAATGATAGGTCTAAGAGTCAAAGGGATCACATAAACAAGACTACTTTCTGCTAATACTGATAGAATAAAAAAGGGAGAGTAGGATTCAACATGGGAAGAGGGATACACAGCAGACTCATAGAATGGCAGATGTCCTAAACAGCACACTGGCCTCGGAATCAGCCCTTAAGGCATTCGGATCTGGCTGAAGGGCCAATGAGAGTAAATAAATATTTATTTTAAAAGGACAATTAAATGAGTTTGTGGATGATTATATGAGGTTAATTATCTTGTTTCTGCTGATTATTTTGCAGCATATCCATATATCAAAACATGGTATACTGGTAAATACATTCAATTTTTACTTGTGAGTATTCTCTTGAAAGCAATTCTTTGCAACCATTCTTCAAGGAATAGAAGAGTACTCTCATTTTTAAAATTTATTTTGAACTCATATGATGATCTTAATTACTAAGACATTATATGCATTCTATTTTTTATTTAATAAATACAAATTTACAAAGTACAACTTTTGAATTGTTGCGGCTTTTTCTGCCATAACCTCCCTCCCACCCGCAACCATCCCATCTCCCACTCCCTCTCCCATCTCATTCTTCATCAAGATTCATATATGCATTCTATCATTTAAACTTTCTACTGTTTTCTAAGGCAGGTATTATGTTCTTACATTTACAGCTGAGAGAACTAAAGCTTTGAGTTTGTGGTTTATTCTGCAGTTCTAAATCTATGACAACAGGTGGAAAGGATGTACTTTTGTTCCCTTTACTTCCCCATGTTCTGTTTGTTCTTCCCTTAAGGCACTGCTTGCCATTTTTCTTCAGTATTCCATTGGCAATGGCTCTGGCTAAAATGAGAAGAGAGTGTCACACCTTCGTCATCATCCTTGCAGCTGTTTCCCCTTGACTTCTGTTACCGGTCCCCTCCCTTTGCTCACAACTAGACCCTCCATAGCTTCTGTGCCACACTCAGGGGCCAGGCCTGCTGTAGAGGTCTATGCATTCTGTTCTCCTGGCTGCTGGACCCCTATTCATTGTGCCTCTGCAACCTCTCCTGCCCCAGCTGTCCTGCCATCAGGGAACTTGGAACCTCTTTCTCTTTCCCGTGCCAGTCCCCACTTATGCTCTGGTTTCCAGGACTGGGTTCTTGCAGTGAGCATTCTTTTCTCTCCCATGGATCTGGGATTGATCCAGGCTTTCCTCTCAGGCGCTGTCTTATGACCTCGGTAAAGATGATGCTTTGCATCTTCACGTACTACCTACTTCCTTACTCTGTTATTTGGCTCTGATCTTTTCATCATCTATTTCAGGACACTTATTTATTATGGATGATTATGTATAATTTGTCATCTAGATGAAAACTGAGAGGGGTTATTATAATCAGCATAAAAATTATGACTGGTTTTCCCATACATAGAACCTATGTGTGGATTTGGCACACAGGTTTGTTGGTGTGATGGTCTGGATGTGTCCTCCCAAACTCATGTTGAGATTTAATTACCATTGTGACAATACAAACAGGTTGGACCTTTAAAAGATAATTAGCTTCTGAGGCCTCTGCCCTTGTTAATGGATTAATATCATTAGTGAGAAGTGGGTTAATTATTATGAGAGAGAGTTCCTGATAAAAGAATGAAGTTTTACTCTCATTCCCTCCCTATCTTTCCAATGATTAATTGCCCTTCTACCATCTTATAATGTGGCATGAAGGCCTTTGTCAGATGTCTTGGACTTCCCAACCTCTAGAACCATGAGCCAAATAAACTTCTGTTTATAAATTACCTATTTCCTGGTTGGTATTCCATTGTAGCAGTATAAAGTGGACTAAGGCAGCCAGTTAAATGTTGGGAAATATGATTAACTTTTATTTTTTTTAAATTATTTGATTTGAAAGAGTTACAGAAAAGGAGAGGCAAAGAGAGAGGTTTTCCATCAGCTTGTTCACTCTGCAAATGGCCACAATGGCCAGGACTACAACAGGCCAAAGCCAGGAGCCAGGAGCTTCATCTAGGCCTCCTATGCCAGTGCAAGGGACCAAGCACTTGGGCTATCCTTTGCTGTTTTCCCTGGCATATTAACAGGAGGCTGGATTGGAAGTGGAGCAGCCAAGACTTAAACCAGCACCTGTATGGGATGCCAATGCTGCAGGTGGCAGCTTTACCCACCATGCCACAGCACCAGCCTTCTGGTAAACTTTTCTATGCCATATCAATTTCCTGAAATTAAGTGTTAGTAATAGTAGCTAGGACTTGGGTCAATGTGAGAATGGAATGAGTTAATGCATGTATGATATTTAGAATAGTGACTTGCACATGATCTTTTAATTCATTTAAACCACGACTAGTGTTGTGTCTATGACAAGCAGTTAATTTTTCTCAGCCTTTGAAAATTGAATATTATCATGCATTTAAGATTCAAAGGCACATTATATAAAATAACCTTCACCCTCTGTCTTCCAGATGCTAGTCTTACTGCTTTTCTTACTCTATGAACAACTGTTTTACTTTCATTCCACAATGGTTTACCTTCATTCCTTACCAATGATCTACCCACATTTACTGCTTTTATTTTTTTGCTCCAACAATGTGTTAAGCAACATCTCAAGGCCGGAAGACAGTTACTCCTGGTGCCAGTTACCTAATCATCACGAAGGCTTGGAGAAACAGGACTGATCAGAGAAACCCCAAATACAGATATGATTGGCACAGTCTTCAGCAAAACCTTTTCACCAGCTCCACCAAAGTGTTGCATAAGGCAAAGAGACGTTAAACTGGAGGAAAGAGAGCCTGCCATGTTCTGGGAAAGACACAGTTATCATCATTGCACATATCATGCTTGGTGACAAGATGAACTTGGGAGAAAAGAGGTCTGCCAGAGCCTGACGCCTCCAAGGTAAACCTTATTGCTCCCCTCTCCATAGAAACCCCCAGCTGTTTTCTGTTAAAGGTGCCTCCCAGTGGGCCTCCAGGGTTGTCTGCAAGATTTTCTGTTTGGTTGACATTGTAGAGAGTTGGAATATTTTTTTATGAGGATGGCTTCCCCTTAGAATGTGATAGGTACTCCGACACCGTAAGAAAAGATGCTAGACTTAATAATACAGTGATTTCTTTTGGAAGATGCCAGTATGGAACCACACACACACACACACACACTTTAGGCCTTAGATGTATTAAGTACTAGTGGATGCACTTGAGTTTGCCTGCAGCTCTGATAATGAGGGTGGTTTGGACATTCCTGAGATTTGGAGTTTGGTGAATGAATTTTAGTGTAATGCTAAGTAGAGCCAGAGAACTATAGTCTGATACCTAGCTCCTCAAATTTCTGAGGATGTGTTTGTTTGTTTGTTTGTTTGTTTGTTTTTGACAGGCAGAGTGGACAGTGAGAGAGAGACAGAGAAAGGTCTTCCTTTACCGTTGGTTCACCCTCCAATGGCCGCTGTGGCCGGTGCACTGGGCTGATCTGAAGCCAGGAACCAGGTGCTTCTCCTGGTCTCCCATGCGGGTGCAGGGCCCAAGGACTTGGGCCATCCTCCACTGCCCTCCCGGGTCACAGCAGAGAGCTGGCCTGGAAGAGAGGCAACCGGGACAGAACCCGGTGTGCTGGCACCGCAGGTGGAGGATTAGCCTATTGAGTCGCGGCACCGGCCGGCTATGTGGTCTTAAGCAAGTTAATTAACTTTCTGTTCCTCAGCTGTCTCACCTGTAAAATCGAAAGATCCTAAGAGCAATGCCCACTCATACGGATGGTGTGAACACTGAATTGGCTAACATGAATAAAGCAGTTAGAGCAGCTCCTGCCACACACCAAAAACTGGATAGGTGAAATGAACTAGGTAGGTCCTTAGGAAATCTACATTTCTTGATTCTTTTGAAAAGCCAAATTGACCAAAATTTGTAAAATGTAGCTTGTTTTACCTGAAGCCTGAAAATTCTCCCTAATTGTTTTTTTTTTTTAAAGTCAACTTGTATAATGTGGTTAGAATAGATTTCTTCCCTCCATAATGGCTCTGGAGTTTCATGATAAGAGAGGCTTTGTGCTTGTAGATATATTTTCCATTATGATCCATGGGCTACATGGGGCTGGGCTCAGGGTATGTTTGTTTATTAAATGTGGCTTAGCTGAGTGCCCACTGTACTACAGATACTGTTCTAGACATGGGAGTTAATTGGGTAAGAAGACAATGAGAGACAAGTATTGAGGCAATTGGAGCTCAGACTGATGAAGTGGTTTGAGGAAGGAAGCTGGGGAAATTCTGAGAATAGCTGAAACAGGTGCATCATCCAGTCTTTGTCAGGACTAAAACAGGTGTCCTGTAAAGTATGATGTGGGGCTGACACAGCCTGGTAGAAGAGCAGAAATCTTCTAGGTGAAACTTTGGTGGGGAGTGTTCCAGGAGAGGGGAATGGTGCTGAGAAGGATTGGAAACATTTGAGGGCAGTTGTAGAGACTGACAGAACTGGAGAAAGGCTGGACTGAGTTTTGAGATGGAAAAGAGTTAGGAATGAAGCCAGAGAGCTAGGCAAGTAACCATCTGATCACAAAGGAGAGTACTCCCCACCTTACTTAATCTTAGCTTATTAGATATTTCATCTAAAATATGTGTCCCAATCACAAAATAATTTAAATAGGGTTATTCTATCTTGAATTTTTCTTACACTTATTTTACATAATTACATAAACATTAATTAAAATAGATTGGTTGTAAACTTTATTGATTTTTCTTCACTTTTGATTTCCGTGCATGACCTTGAACAGGAAAGGTAAGAGTTTCTTGTCACTATACCTTTATTAACATTTAAATAGATAATGTTCCTTAATGCTAGCTGAAAATCAATATTGGTGAGACAATTTTATGAAGTTTATAATGATCTTGTAAATGGCTTTCATAGGAAAATTTTATGAATTTTTATAGCAATTCCCAGTGTGACAAAATTAGAATGTGTTCTGGCCCTCAGAACACTAATTTTAAAATTTTTTAAAATTTATTTGACAGATAGAGCTAGACAGTGAGAGAGAGAGAGACAGAGAGAAAGGCCTTTCTTCCGTTGGTTCACTCCCCAAATGGCTGCCATGACTAGCACTGCGCTGATCTGAAGCCAGGAGCCAGGTGCTTCTTCCTGGTCTTCCGTGTGGGTGCAGGGGCCTAAGCACCTGGGGCATCCTCCACTGCCCTCCTGGGCCACAGCAGAGAGCTGGACTTGAAGAGGAGCAGCCGGGACTAGAACCTGGCACCCATATGGGATGCTGGCGCCACAGGTGGAGGATTAACTAAGTGAGCCATGGCGCCAGCCCCCAGAACACTAATTTTAAAATTAGTGTCTTAGTGATTTGTTATCACACTTGAATAAGTGTAATACGTACTCCTTACAATGGAGAATTAGAAAGGCACACATCATGAAGGGGTATGGCATGTTTATTTTGACAAAAATATATCTATTAGAAAATGAATCTATAATTTCTAACAAAAAGTACTAAATAAGATGTTATTCTAAACTCAGTCAATAGTTTTGACAGAATTCAGCAGCGCTTGGTGGATTGATAATTCCATCTCTTCCACCTCATCAGTTAGAAAAGCACATAAGAGTTTTGCAATTGCTTTGCCTTGGAGGACTATGTATGCATCAGGAAGTTGTACTGCTCAACATTCAGAAGTATAAGCATCCTGTGTATACTTGTGTGATGTAACATTTTTAACTGTAAAGACTGAGGTGTTGGTTTGGTGAACCCTAGATCATACAACTAGTAAGTGGCCAAATCTGGATTTGAATCTGGTTCCTCCATAGTCCTCAAACTGCTTCTGTTATGCTTTATTACCATTTATGTAGTGCCACATGCAATGTATTCACTTTGAAAGTGTTGACCCTTTCCCCCCATGGCACTCTGTTTGGGGTCTCTGATTCTAACAAACCTTGCTTTAAAAATAAAGTGTTGGGCCTTTAGGTAGAATATCTTTAGTAGAATCTGAAATCACTTATCATCTGTACAATTTTGTATGTTTCTTAATCTATATGCCTTGATTATTCTTATCGGTAAAATGAAAATAATAATGTTAAGACATAGAGTTGTTGGAAAAGTTAAATATATTATTAGTACGTTCATAGCAATAAGACAGTGTCTGGAACATAACCATCAACATTAAATAAATGATAATTATTGTCATTAGATGTTGTCTAGAGCCATCCTCTTCATACAAGTGACTACTGGTCAGAAGAACTTTGTATTTGATGATTGGGTTGAGGAGAGGCATGGGCCTGCTAGTGCACATGGAAATGAGAAAAGAATTATTCTTTACACACGTGAAGTATCCAGGCTGATTACAATGATTCGTTGGTATCTACTGCTTTAAGACAATTGGAAGTGAACATTATACAAATTATTCTTCCGACCACATGCCCCATCCATGAAGAATCTTTTTTGTTGAACAGACAGAATAGACCATTTCTCTTAAACTAAAAAAAATATGATTGCTATTGGTAGAAGGTAAAGCACAAGCTTTTGGATTTCTTTTCCATGACAGCCATAAAAATCATCAATGGCTTCCCAAGAAGTTGATAAAGCATTGCCGGAGACAGCCTCAGCAGCTGGTTTCCCAGGCAGCCCGGAACCAGAGGGAGTGAGTACTTCTTCATACCAGTCCATTGAAGAGTCAAACATTTATCAGAAGGGAGAACTACAAGCCCTTGGGGTGAGTTGGCCCTGTTCAAAATATTGGTTTAAAAGGGAAGAAATTAAATATCACATGGAAAATGTTATCGTTGCCCGTAGGAATAAATTCTAAGTTATTCTTCATTGACTCAATGAAGAACTGAAGAAAAGACTGAGATGTACTATAGCCCCCACAAATGGAAATGCTGCGGCATTCTATCCTGGTAGACAGCATCATACCAAACCTTGGAAAATGGATTCCAAGGCCCTTCGATCTCTTATGATGCCCAATCAGGAGGCTGAATTCTAGGAAGCTCATATTCTATATCTTCAGTTAGAAAAATGGGTTTATGACACGTTCATGAAGGAAATGGAGTGAGGGGTATATGGGAACTCTTTGTATCACTACTTCTTAGTTTTTATTTTGTAAATTTAAAACTATTCTGAAACAAAATGTTTTAAAAAATTGGGTGGATGAAAAGGCTGAGTAGAACACTGCTTGCCATTCATCTGCTTTCAATCTGTTGTGAGTCCAAAGCATACTGGGAAGATGTTTGGACTTGAGCTATCTGATCAGGCATATCGCTAGTCTTTTGACACTGTAAGAAGAGGAGTTGTGGGAATAAGTAGAAACTGAAGAGAAAGAGAAAAGAAAGAAGAAAAAGTGAAGAAAAAGGGCTGCCCCTGGAACTGATGGGACTACTATAGTAAGCAACATTTCAGTATAAGTCCTTCTATTTAGGCTTGACATTTTATTTTTACTTTAAAATATTTTAAATTTATTTTTAAGCTTTAAAATTTAACAATTTTTAACATTTTGCCACATATACTCCCTATGCGTACACTTTATATGTATATACTACACACACACACACACACACACGTAGTAGTTTTCATTGAAAACAGGGATATTAATATCACAAAGTGAGGGCTTCCTAACAATGATCATAGTGTGGGGGAAAGAAGGGTGTATTTTCACATACTGTTATAATTCAGTGAAGCAACATTTTTATAACTACATACCAATGCCATGACAGCCTCATGGTTTTTATACTCTCTCTCTGTAGGCTTGACATTTACACCATTTCAAGCATTTACATCTCCTTTCTGAGGAAAATTAAAGTGGAATTATATGACTTCTCGCTTCTTTTTCTCCTTGCAGGCCATCCAGATCCTGAATGGAGCAATGATTCTGGCTCTGGGTGTTTTTCTGGCCTCCTTACAATACCTGTCCCATGCGTTCAGGCACTTCTTTTTCTTTACCTTCTACACAGGCTATCCGATATGGGGCGCTGTATTCGTGAGTATTTGTATTTCCCACGAATGGATAGCTTCTACGACATCACTGTTACAAATGTTTATGAGAGTGTGGTTGGACGTTATTTGGAGGTTGCATGCTGTGGCTTTGATTTACAATTCTTGATACAAATAATTTTTTAAAAAGCCAATATCTTTCTGATTCAAAGAAGGCACATTTCCTTAGTTCAAATTAAGTCCCAAACATCAATTTAATACCTATATGTTAGATTTATAGATACTAAAAAATACTGAATGGGAAGTGAGTATTGGAGAATTGCCATGTGGTTTGCCTGGCTTGGGAGATAAGAAATGTGTCTGTTAATCAAAGGATGGTCAAGAAAAAAAATGGTAGCTACTCATTCCTTTATCTACTTTACTTCCTATTTTCAAACAGTTTATTAGTTCAGGATCCTTGTCTGTTGCAGCTGGGAGGAAACCCACAAGAATGCTGGTAAGTGGCAGTTCTTCCTCTTTTTCTAGGACAATAGTAAGAACAGAAAAAAAAGATCCTTTAACAGGGGGAAAGTAGAGGTTGGTGAATCCAGCTGAGACACTGTGTTTTATGTAATTCATGAGGAAATTAAAGCATTCAGATGGTAGGTCACCAGATGGTGAATATCCTACCTGGGATGGTTGTTCTGAATGTGTGATGAGTGTTAGAAAACGGTATCTTAATTTTTATGTGCTGTCAAGTTTTGTCAATTCTAATTATTTTGAGCCACTGGTTCCAAAACTGAATATGAAAAACTCTATTCCTTTAGTTGTTCATCAAAGAACACCCACTTCTCTTCTGTGTATGCAGTCAGTGCACATATAGCCATTTATCCTCACTTTCCTGTTCAATTCATTCACTTCCCCTCCTTCTTAGAAGCTATTTTATCATCCTATTCTTATCTCAATGCTAATCCTTTTTCTTTCATTCTTACTCTCTGTTGATAACCTTGTTTCCTAGTCTGAGAAAAATAAAGCTGTTGGAAGAGAATTTTCATATCCCCTTTATTCTACATACCCAGTGGGCCAGTCTATACCAATGTATTTATCACTCTAGCCTCTTACCATGGGTGAATCTAATCCCCCTCCTTTAATTTTGGATTCCATTCTTTTTACTCACTCATAAATGCATAAGCATTCAATTACTGTTCTTAACTTAAAAAGAGAAAATTCACCTTGACATATTTTCCCTTGCTATTACAGGCACTCCCCCCCCCCCCCCTGTAGCTAAGCTCCTTTAAAGAAGTTATTCATGCTATGCCTCCAATTCTTGTCTATCGAGTTTCAATTAAATCCATTTTTGTTAGACTTTATTTTCTTCCCTACCATGCCCTGGAACTACTCGCTTTCTTTAAGATTTATTTATTTATTTGAAAGGTAGAGATACAGAGGGAAATGGGGAGAGAGAGAGAGAAAGAGAGGGAGAGAGGGAGAGAGAGGGAGAGGTGGAGGGAAGGAGGGAGAGAGAAAAGGAGAGAGATCTTCCACTGGCTGATTCAGTCCCCAAATGGCAGCAAATGCCAGGGCTGGGCCAGGCCAAATCCAGGAACCAGGAACACAGTCCAGGTCTCCCATGTGGAAGAAAGAGACCCATCTACTTGAACCATTAATACTGCCTCTCAGGACCTGCATCGTTAAGAGACTGGAATTGAGAGCAAATCTAGGACAGGAACCTAAGTACTCTGATAAGGGACACAGGTGTCTTAAGTCAAATACCTGCCTCAGTGGTTAATTCTTGATTCTCATCTATCTTAATTATGAGCAACATTTAGTACATACGGTCATTCACTCTTCCTTCCAATAATTTCTTCACTCGGCTCCCAGCATGTGTCAATAGGCTCATCTTTTGCTTTCTCCTCCTCAATCTCCTATGTTGGTTCCTTTCATTCCCCCTGACCTTTTAATGTTGAGGTGCTACAGACTTCAAGTTTTCCACCTAATCTTCATCAAAGCAATGATTATGGGTTGAGATCTCATTCATTTTCCTGGACTTGAATAACATGTGTTTATCCATGAATATTAAATTTAGTGTATATTTCCAGCCTAGTTTTCTCCCCTGAGTATTTGACTGGCATGTCTACTTGCTTCCATTTTCATATCCAAAAGTTCCAAAGCTCAGTTCCTAATCTTCCCCTTCAAGCCTTCTACATGCCTAGTCTTTCTCATGTCAGCCAAACTGCATTCCCAGATCAAAACCTTGGTATATATCTAACTCTTCTTTCTTTCACAGATCCTGAGTCCTGTTTGTGAGTAAATCCTGCTGTGTCTATCTTCAGGCTATGTCCCAGTCTGACCTTATCTTTCTGCTGATGACACTTTATCCAATGGACCATTCTCTCCTCTATGGACTTCCTGCTCCCACCCTTGAGCTTCTCTTCAGTAGTGGGGACAGAAGGATCCCCTTAACTCATAAACCTCAGTTTGTCACCCCTTCCTGAAATCCTCCAACAGCTCTGTAATTTTCTGATTTGGAACCTTTGCTTGATCTACAGAGACCTTTATTACTTAACTCTGAACTTTGTCTTCTTTTCCTAATATTGTCTACTTGCTCCAGCAACCTTGTCCCCCTGGCTGCCCTGGAGCCCTTTAGCTTCAAGGCTTTGAAGTGGGAGTTTCCTCATTAAAAGGACATCCCCCAGAAACTCTCTTGGCTAACACTTTCAGCTCATTTTTGTCCCTTTTCATGTGTCATTCCTGTTTGACATCAGACACATTTACTCCTGTCTCTGGATTTTCAGATTCTCATTAGCCGATTTTTATCTCTTACTTCACTCTATAATATTAATTACTTTCAAAAACATTGTACAATTTGCCTATTATTTTGGCTATTGTTTCCTTTGTCTATTGCTATAATGGAAAGTGCATGGTGGAGAATTGTGTTTATCAATGTTTGCCCTACATCTAGGATATTGCTCAGTGTGTAAATATTATCCAATCAATATTTGAGTAAGAGAACTGTTGCTAGGGAAACAAAATATGTGCTATATACTAACTGAAAATTCTTATTTCCTTTTAGATGCAGAACAGTTTTGGGATGAACATTGCCAGTGCTATAATTGGACTAGTTGGAGTTGTTTTTCTCTCATTGAATTTAGCAATTAATAGCAACTCACTCAAAAGTTGTCAGTCCTCACAGTCACTGGACTTATGCATTTACATGGGTTCCACATCAAATGTATGTTTCTTTAAAAATAGATTATATGTAAAATACTTTAAACAATCCAAAATTCACACAAAATAGTACATAAGGTACATCCATGATATTTTAAATTTTGTTCACTTGTTTGGAAGGCACAGTTACTGAGAGGGAGAGAGAGAGAGATCTTCCATCCACTGGTTTACTCCCCAAATGGCTGCAAAGGCCAGAGCTGGGCCAGGCCAAAGCCAGGAGCCAGGAGCTCCTTCCAGGTCTCCCATGTGAGTGCAGGGTCCCAAGTTCTTGGGCCGTCATTCTCAGCTGGATCAGAAGTGGAACATATGGGACTTGAACTGGTGCCCATATAGGATGCCAGTGTTGCAAACAGTGGCTTAACCTGCTACCCACAACACTGGCCCCATCTATAATATCTTGATTTGAATCTTGGCTCTGCTACCTATTAACATTATAATGAAGGGCACAGAAGACAGTCTCATTATGCTTTTATTTTCTCATTTTTCAAATGAGGATAATATTCATTTTAAATGGTTGCTGTAAGAATTAAATAAGTTAACATTTGATAAGTAATTATAATCGCTCAGCACATTGTATTATATTATTCTTAAAATTACTTCTTATACTCCCAGGGAGATTCAATTTAAAATTTTATTTTTATATGCTCTTACAGAATACAACAAATTTGAGAACTTTACAACTATCTCCATAGTCTGGAATGTTTAATGAAGTATTGAGTGACTTCACTTTTGAATTTACTGCAGTATGGTATTTCAAAAGGGAAGTTCTTTAATAAACTTCCAATGTTATGTTTTGTTCATGTGTACATATTCTACCTCTTAGGCCATATTAGAAATTAATATTTTTCTTCAAATTTTCCCATTTTGACTCTGATTTTCTGTAATCCATAAGCATACTGAATTTTCCCCAATTCTCCCGTGTTCTGACTCTGCTCATGGAAATATGTATAGTTTCACAGCATTATATTTTTAATTATCTAAATTTATTTTTATCAGATTTTTATTTTTCAGTGCACTTGGTAGTATTATTCCACAGGAGAAATTTTCATGTTACTTTTCTTCCAGGTGCCCCAGTGATAATAGAAGAATCACTAGTCCAGCAGCAATTCATTTGGTGTTGATCTCAGCTTTGTGTTTTAGTTTCTAGGGATAATGTAAATGCCTAAACCACTATGAGCTACCATCAGTGAAATGGTGTTAGACTTATTTGTGTTCATTTTCATAAACTGTCTGTTATCTCCTAGTTTAATACTATTCCAGTTGGGAGGGTTAGTGATAGTGTCAGAATTTTGGGTTTACAATTTCTTCCCTCTGTTGACTATCTTGTATGAATTGATATAGAAATACATCACACCTCTTTCTTCTTTTTAAAAATTATATTTTATTCATTTGAAAGGCAGAGCTGAAGAGAGAGAGAGAGAGAGAGAGATCTTCTCATCTACTAGTTCCCTCCCCAAATGGCCACAACAGTCAGGACTGGGCCAGGCTGATGCCAGGAGTAGGGGATTTATTGAGGTCTCCCATGTGGGTACAGGGGCCCAAGCACTTGGGCCATTTTCTGATGCTTTCCCAGGTGCATTAGCCAGACTGGAATCAAAAGAGCTGGGAGTTGAACCAGTAATCCTAAGGAATGCTAGCATTGCAGGCAGTGGCTTAACCAGCTGTATCACAACACTGTCTCTCAAACTCATCTCTCTCTTAAGGGAAAATGTCTCTATGCTTTTAGATTGAAATTGTATCCCTTCTACAGTGTTTGTGTGTATCTATCTTCAGTCTAATTTATGGTTCTCTTTTTCCATGATGAGGGAGGAAAATATTATGGTCTGGCTTCTTGCTGATCTCTTCTCCCTCCGGATGTTTCCGCTTGGTTTGACATGGGCATTGTATCCCCTAGGGCCTGGTATCTCTCATGCTCATCCTCACCTTGCTGGAACTGTGCATAACCACCTCTATCTCAATCATGTGGTCCAAAGCGAAGTGCTGTGCTTCAAGACCAGTAAGTTTGTTGAAATGGCTAATCCTGTAGGATTTGAAGTTGTTTTTGGCTCTTGGAACTAGAAACAAACTTTTATATGAAAATGAGTTTTGGGGGCTCATGGATTAGAGATTTTATAATGTTCAAGACAGAATGAAGTCTGGGAAAACATTCAACTGCGAAAAAGCAAGTGGAAACCTTGTATTTAATATTTAAGAAGCCTTTTTCTTTGGTACCTGGAATTAAATTTATCTTCTTGTAACTTTTAGCTTTCTAGCTTTTTGACCCAGGAAAAATTGCAAATTCTTTTTAGATATACAGTATCTTAGCTGTAAAGCTGAAATAATATTTTTATTCTCTTCTGACATTTGTTGTGAGGATTGTGTATGCAATCATAACATCATGTTTATTTTAGTATAGTAACAACATGTAAATAAGTATTATTGATGATCGTGATGATAGGAAGAAATGGTAGAAGAGGGAGACGATGACACTATTCTTAGAGACCGATGTTTTCTTTTCCAGCAGATTTCTTCACCTTCCGATTCTGTGGAATCAGGAATACCTCCTGATGAAAGCCATCCTGATGAATACTCAAGCTAAAGTTGCTAAAGTCTCCAATGAGTAGGATATTCATCCAAGAACTCAAGAGAACATGAACCTGTAAAACTCAATCCTCCTATGATAGCACCAATCATGAGAAACGTGGACCTCTAACTCAATCTTCCTTATCTTAATTGTAAATTCTATTTTCATGCTCTGAGTATGGGAGGACAAATATAATCCTTTAGGCATTCTTGGATTTCAGATCATTACTCTAAAGTTATTTCTAGAAACTGGTTCTCCTTTCCCACATAAGTCATTACTTCATAAGGCTTAAGGAAGGAAGGTAATATAATACCCCTATATAATGTATTCTTACTAAAATCCAACTTCCAGCCATCCAGTGGGGAGGACAATAAATCAGACTTTCTTGACTTTAGCTGACATCAGCATTAAAAAACCTGCCAAATTAATAAAAAATCACCAAGATAAATTTTCACTATGTTTGAGGTGGATTGAATAAGCCTCAGTGACTCTATTTCAGTCAACTACTGGGATGTACATATACCTAAATGATGGTTTAAATTGGGGACTTTGAAAACAGTGCCAATGTCTGTTCTTCAAAGGACCACGAGAAACTGCAAAGTAGACAAGACAAAAACCAGGGCTTTAGAATATAATATCTGACTTCATATTCTGACCCTTATTATCTATCTGAACTTGGGCAGTTACTTAATCTCTGTGGTGCATTTTCCTCATATGTAAAATAGACATTATAACATCAACTGCCTTATCAGTTATTATGAGGTTTAAGTGAAAACAAAACCGTTGTGAAACAGCACCACTTCTTGATGATGTGTTGCTGTTAGTGATCTTCTTGCTTCTGTTAAACATGAGGTGCAGCTGTGGTCTGATGTGCTGTAGGAAGACTGAAACCCTCTCTCGTCTGTTGTGGCTTCTGTACCTCCAATAGCTACAATGGCCATCTTTTCAAGGTAGCAATTATTTCCCGAAACTCTTTCCATCTCAGTGCCTGATTTATGAATCAGCTGAAGTAGTTATATTTCTGATTTAGAAATTAATTTTCCCTCTTGATGTTGAATTGGGACATCTATAATGTCCAAACATTCATATTCATAAGTTGCTTTTAACTCCTCATTTATCATATGAACAAAGGTTGTTCCATGCTTGTTTCTACTAGTTCATTGCCATCTAGTTATACAATATACATTCTTCTATATTTTAATCCATTCAATAATCACTTAAAGAGGGTCTACTAAGTATCATGTTCTGTGCTTAGAGTTTGACATACAATAGAGAATGAAGCAGTTTCTACTATCAAATTGCTCATGATGGAAGGTATAGACTCAGAGAAATAAGGGCTATGATAGAAAGAATATTAGGGATCTTGGGAGGCACATAGGAAGTGTTTCTAACCTGGATACTAGGGAATGTCAATGATAATTTTTCAGAATTTTCTTCTCAACTGACATGATGGGGCATTAGCATCATGAAGGGGGAAGGAACATAAAGGAATATGCGCTAATCTAGGGAGGATGTTTATATTCAAGGAACAAACAAAAGTTTACTGTGTGAGGAGTAGGCAGAAAAGACAAATTTGGAGAAGGAAGAATATGCATCACAGGTCTTAAGACAGGGCAACTCTAAGTCGTAAGAAGTGATTGAAAATGTATGCAATGCGGCTGGCGCTGTGGCTCACTAGGCTAATCCTCTGCCTTCGGCGCCAGCACCCCGGGAGTTCTAGTCCCGGTTGGGGTGCTGGTTCTGTCCCAACTGCTCCTCTTCCAGTCCAGCTCTCTGCTGTGGCCCCGGGGGTGCAGTGGAGGATGTCCTAAGTGCTTGGGCCCTGCACCTGCATGAGAGACCAGGAGGAAGCACCTGGCTCCTGGCTTGGGATCAGCGCTGTGTGCCGGCCGTAGTGGCCATTTGGGGGGTGAACCAATGGAAGGAAAACTCTCTCTCTCTCTCTCTCTCCCTCTCTCCCTCTCTCCCTCTCTCTCTCCCTCTCTCCCTCTCTCCCTCTCTCCCTCTCTCCCTCTCTCTCTCCCTGCCAAAAAAAAAAAAAAAAAGACAAAAAAATGTATGCAATGATGTGCAGCAGTGTTGGCTTGTGAGAGCCAATTTTACATTTTCTGGGAGCACAAATCAACATAATTTGGGTAGCTTGAAACTGGTTATGAGAGGAACATTTATACAGCAGAGATTGGCTGAAGCCACAAATCACACTCCCACCTTCCACCATCTCCTCCCTAGAAAGCTAGTTGTTAACCATTTGACTGAATACCACCAGATGTGTATGAATAATCCATATACTTATTTTAGAATTTAGAAATGTCATTGTGGTTACAATGTAGAGTGCATTGGAAGGAGTACATGGAAAGAATATGGTTGGTTAAGAGTAAACAAATCAGGGGCTGGTGCTGTGGCATAGTGAATAAAGCTGTCGCCTACAGTGCTGGCATCCCACATGGGCACCGGTTCGAGACCTGGCAGCTCCACTTCCCATCCAGCTCCATGCTCTGGCCTGGGAAAGAAGTAGAAGATGGCCCAAGATGGCCTCTGTACCCCTGTGGGAGACCTGGAAGAAGCTCCTGGCTTCAGATCGGCACAGTTCCGGATGTTGTGGCCAACTGGGGAGTGAACCAATGGGTGGAAGACCTCTCTCTCTCTCTGCCTCTCTCTCTCTGTAACTCTCTCAAGTAAAATAAATTTTTTTAAAGTAAACAAATCAAACAATGGAGAAATACAGATTTCAGAAGGAAATGTTTCTATTAATATTTGTAGTACCATTTTCATTAGTATTTTTCTCTATTGTGTTATTGAATACATTAATCATTGCTTTGTATTTTGAGAAAGATGGCAAACAGATCAAAATATATTAACTGCCTGTACTGGACACTGTGAATGCCTCATCAGCATTCATCCACCACGTCTCTACCCCCATCCCCTACTGATGCAACCGTGAGATTTGGTGCAGTTAACCTCAACCTTGAGCTTCAGGAATACACCCTGGAAAATCTAATTCCATCAGGACAGTTCCATTCATGATTACATTATACCATTGTGTGATAACATTCACTTGGATGAATGACCCTATGGATTGCAAAGCACTTCTCCTTACTTTTCCTTTATTGAGTCTTGGGAGGGTCCTTCAGTTAAATCAAGGCTTTATTTTCAGTAGGCAGAGAGAGTGATTGGTAGAATAGGTAGAATCATGAGAAATATTTTGACCAGTTCTGAAGAGGGGGTATTTTAGAAATATCTCAGTAAAACAGGAAAAAAATGCATTACTCATGATCTGTGACAAAAGTGTGAGACCTAAAAAACAATGGAAGAACAAAATGAGAGAATGCTAAAGGAGAAACTAGGATACTGCTGGACCAGTGAGAAACTGAATGATGACTTGCTATTTAAAAAATATGAATATTTCTGTTGCTGTCAATGGTTCCTGATGAGACTTTCTCCAAAAAGAATACTATGGAAAATTCCCACAAAGACTTTTGCCTCCAATTGATTCTTAGATGAATTAAAAATTTGAGAATAATTCAATTTACAGTGTGTATGATACTGGTATTTATGCACTGTCTGGTCACCTTTTTTCAGTTTCCCACTGGGTTGAGGACATTGGTCAATTGGTTTATTTATTCATCCAATAAATACTGAATTCCTAGCAGGTGCTTGAGATTGTGTTAAAAGTTCAGATAGGGTCTGGTGTTGTAGCGGAGCAGATTAAGCCACTGTTTTCTATACTGGCATCCTCTATCAGAGTGCCAGTTGGAATTCTAGCTGCTCTGCTTCCAATCCAGCTCACTGCTAATGCTCCTGGGAAAGCAGCAGAAAGCCTGAATGCTGGGTCCCTGTAACCCCCAGGGGAGACCAGGATAGAGTTCCTGGCTTGGCCTGGACAAGCCCTCGCCATTTGAAGAGTGAACAAGCAGATGGAAAATTCTATCTTACCCTCTCTCCACCCTCTGCCTTTCAAACAATGTCTTTCAAAAAATTCGGATATATTGGGAGGATGCACTGTGGTACATTTCTGAAGTCATAAATAAAGAGGTTTTCTCTATAATTAGCATTGGGTTTTTTTTTAGAACCATCCATCTTATTTTATGAAAATTTTCTTTCTTTTTTTTTTTTTTTGACAGGCAGAGTGGACAGTGAGAGAGAGACAGAGAGAAAGGTCTTCCTTTTGCCATTGGTTCACCCTCCAATGGCCGCCGCGGCCAGCGTGCTACAACTGGCGCGCCACGCTGATCCTAAGGCAGGAGCCAGGTGCTTCTCCTGGTCTCCCATGCGGTGCAGGGCCCAAGCACTTGGGCCATCGTCCACTGCACTCCCGGGCCATAGCAGAGGGCTGGCCTGGAAGAGGGGCAACCGGGACAGAATCCGGCGCCCTGATCAGGACTAGGACCCGGTGTGCCGGCGCCGCAAGGCAGAGGATTAGCCTATTGAGCCGTGGCTCCAGCCCTCATTTTCTTCATTTTGGTAATCAAATATTCCGTGGAACTTTGGAGCTTGATGTCAGTCTTGGGCTTTCTCAGCCCCTGACCCATTTTTATTGAACCCATACTTGGCTCTGAAATGCAGATATGAGGGAGAGAGGCAAAATCCCAGAGAAAGGCTGTGATTACTGTAGAAGTTTCATAAAATACCCCCTAAGTGATGATATGGCTTTCAATGTGTAACATGCACCTTCATGCATTTTTAAAACTAAACTGAGCATTCACCTTGAGAAAGTCGTTAGTGTGGGATCTGAAAGCAAATTTCACGTTTGAGGAAATAAATCTAGTATGCAACTGAGAGAAGACGTTTGGAAAGGCAGTGCAGAAGACAGATATATGGTAGGGGAAGAATGTTAACGCTATTATCTCTTCCGTTCAGGGTGAGCTTTGGTTAAAATGCTTAACTTGATAATTTTACCTCCCCCCCCCCCGTCGCTCCCCCATTCGCGGGGGAACGCCACTAAACCCTGCGCTGTTCTTTTGTCTGCTCGGCCCTTCCTGGGTTTGCTGCTGGTCCTTCCCGGGTTGGCTGCCGACCCCTCCACCTCCATGGAGGGGCGGTACCCCCTGCCACTTTCCCCGCTTCTGCGGGGGAGTGGCACACTGCCGGCCGGCTCTCTCAGGGGCTGCTCAGGTGTTCCTTCAGATGTTCCCTCAGATGTTCCTGGTGCATGTTGTCTCTCTCCTCCTTTATAGTCCTCTTCCACCAATCCCAACTCTGCTGCCCACACGCCGAGCACGCTGCTCTCCTCCAATCAGGAGCAGGATCAGCTCCTGCAGCTTATCAGTCAAATTGGCGAGAGGCAGCTGCATAGTTGTTTACTCCTCTCCCAGCGCCATATTGTGGGAGAGCAGATGCATAGAATAAGTCTTAATTCCAGTAACTTAGTCTAGTCTCAGTTGCTCCCCACACCCCCCCACCGAAAATCATTTTGTTGTATATTTCAGTGTTCACTATTGTGAAAGATGAAAAGGCACAGCTGTGGGAAGCCACTGCATGGAAACACATGATGGTAAGCACCTCAGAAAGGAGGAAGAAGGTGCTGGTGAGAATGCGGGTGGGAAACAATTGGGAGGGCATAAAGTATGTCTCAGTTTCTGATTTGTACTTTGCAAGGTCCTGTTGGAAATTCTCTCAAAATGGCAACATTGTGTCCATACACCAAAGACCATCCTCAATTTATTTCCTATATAAATTTCAAGTCCAATTCTTTTTTTTTTTTACACATAAAATGATCGGTTATATACTATTAGGAAATATCCCAAGTAACAATTTCTTCAGGATTTTCACCAGGAGGTGTGGTGGGCTTCATTTCACTGAGGAAGAAGTAAGCAAATGAAAATTCCTGAGTCTGTCATTTTAAGTCTGGGCTCAAATGTCACCTCTGGGGGTTCATTCCATGAACTCTACATATCCCTTATCAGGTGGAATTGTTATACACTCCTATGTGTTCTAACAGCCACTAGCCTCTGACGTACTAGGTATAACTATACAACTTATTCTTGTTTTACTCTGCTAAGTTGTTGGCCAGGCATGGATGGGACATGACATGTTTCCATACCTGCACAGTGGTACACACAGTGCCTAGCATGGGGCACTAAGTCTCTTTTGGATGAATGCATAAATGAATAAGTTTTATGTATTAATTCCTATAGTTCATTGGTTAGCTTCACTAATTCCTGAAGACAAGGTGGGAAGGTAGCACCCGGGTTAATACATTTTTGTTATGAAACAGATGCCAATATATCTTTTAGTATCCTCTGTTCATGCAAATATTTTATTTTCTCAGGAGAGGAAATTTTATTACATCCCAGAAAACCAACACAGGTGATTGGAGGTATAATTTATAGCACATTTATTGGCATTTTATTGAACAGTCATTTAAGATTATTCCTATAATTAAACTGAAATATAAATAATCCAAACCTTCTATGAACCCCTCCCTATACCCCTTGATTATTTTGTTTTATGCCCTAAAAAGATCGAGCACATTGTATAGACTCTAATCCTAATATAGACATTCTTCTCAGTTCAATACTGTTTAGATTTCCTTGTGGGATTTGCTATCAATTTTATGTGTCCCAGTGTTTTGATGTCCCATTCTGTCATGACAAAGATCCAAGCAGCAGACAGCCAGTTTAATGTTTTATCAGACATTGAAGCCTTTTTAGTGTGAAAACTTCTTAGCTTTCATACTCTGTCATATATGGATCACAGCCTGTCCTGTTTCCAAGATCATCTGCTGGGGAAAGTTATACAAACTGCATCCAAATTACAGGAAGAGAAAGATGTGTCGATAGATATTGAAGTCAAAGATAGAAAATGAATCCAGAGGTTCAGAGACTAAGGCATACTGATACAAATACTGCTTCAGCCTTGGGTCTATCTGTGCAGCCCAGTGTGCCTTAAACAGGGACGACAAGACTTTTTAAAGCTGCAATTGGAGAACTTCTGTCATAGAAATGACTGAACTAGAACACAAGTAAGGAAAGCTCTGGAAGAGAGGTACATTTCTTTCTGAAGAATTTTCTCTCACCATCTTAAATTTTCATTAAAATGTCTCATTTTTAGTTTCTGTAAATCCTACTTGTCTCCAGCAGAATTATGCTCCAGGTGTCTCACATGTCTTCATTTCATGCTAGTCTCTATTCAGCAAATTTCTCAGTTTTGCTATTCATTACAATAAAAAAAAAAAAACCCGATGATCTTAATCAATTGGTAAACTTATCTTTCAATGGCTTATGTCTGAAGATTATCATCAATGTCATGACTCAACCCATTGTAACTACTTATTCAGACCACATTGTGAGAGGAAGTCCCTCAAGTCTCAACAACATCTTTCACTATAACATAGTTTTGCTCCTGAGGAGTTAACGAAAAATGGAGACAGAACTTAGGAGCAGAGCAGAACTTGCTCTACCGAGCCCAGAAGGGCCCTCCAGGTAGGTACAGGCTTTATTATTTTTTCCAGTCATTTTGGGGCTGAGAAGATGCTAATTCATGGATTTTGCCATAGATCTATCTCGTTTAATATATTGGCTACACAGACGCTCTCAGCTCTATTTGCCCAGTGGTTCTCATTGATGGGGGCGGGGGGTGGAGGGAGATTTTTGCTCAGTTCATGAGGGGAATCAACAGGATTTCTAACACCAGAGAGTGATACCTGGCATGGAACAGGAGAATTCTTACTGCCCATGTAGATCTCTGTGTGTCTGATATATAAGCATATTTCAAAAAGTTTGAGGAAAATTGAGTTAAAAGTTATGTTTTTCTCGATGCAAAAATTTTGAAATTTGTGTATAGTTTTTCATAACATGCATTTTCCATGAGCATTTTGAAGGTCCCTGTCATGCTGTACAGAAGCTTTACAAAAAAGCCTTCTTCCTAGTTGACATTTCTGAACGTTAGGCTGAGGGATCCTGATCTGAAAATGAAGAAAGGAATAGAGATCCAACTATCCTTTCAATCCATTCCTTTTCTGTTCTCTGAGCACTTGAACTTGAGTGTGCTATTGACAATATTTATTCAGAAACATTTGTTAAAAGAACAGTCAAATGCATAAACATGCTTATTTGTTAATGTTCACAGAGATGAATGTGAAAGGGTTTTGTAGTAATACTGGATTAAGATTTGGCATGGGTTTAGTCCTATTTTTTTCTGTCTAATCACTTGGATATGTTCAAGTCTTTGTCAGTTACTTGGGTCATCTGAACCTTATTTATTTTCTTAGTGACTGCAATGAAAATTTGAATTGCAGGGTTGTTTTAAAAAATGTGCAAATAAAACTCCTCTGTCAGTCAAGAAATTCACACATGGACTTAGGGAATTTCCTCACAATCAAATTTCCGTTAAATTTCACAGTGTGTCTGAAATCCAACTCTCAGAAGTCTCCCTTCGAGGTAAAACTCTACTGCAGAAGTCTACTTCCCGCCCACCACGACAGACATGGTTAACATTTTTGAAGAAAGAGCTGGAATTCCTGGGGGTGAGTGAGCCCCCCTCCAATCTTGACTAGAGTAAAAGTTGGCCACTGGAAAGAATCTTCGGTTGCACAATTGTTTCCCCACTTGGGTTCACCAAGAGTGAAAGGTCTCCTAAAACATGCGGTCAATGAAAAGTTGATAGTAGCTGGGCTCTTTAGGGAAGACAGAAGTTCTTCAGGAAGACTTTAAATTCCTGAGAATGGCAACGAGGAGTGAAAGATCAGTAACTTCTACTTTTATTTTGATGGAAAAATTACTGATGTCATGATGGTAAAGAAATAAAAACACATGAGACATGCATTAGCTATCTATGCATTAGGTATGCTTGTATACATTCTTACTGTGGCTGAGGGATACTGGAGAATCTCAGATGACTTCTTGAGACAGTGTAAGACATTAGAGCAATTTCTGGTATTTGGCCTCAGTTAAGAGGAAATGGATATAATCTTCAGAAAAGATATTTCAATTTCACAAATCTATGTGGTTTTTTTTTATAGGTAATGCAAATTCTGATTGGTTTCATATGCCTTTATTTTGGAACAGCGATCTACTTTGCCTTCGACATTTCGGAATTTGAAGGAGATGTTTTTTCATCATTTAAAACAGGCTACCCATTTTGGGGAGCATTGTTTGTGAGTATATATCCACTAAAGCTGCTGAAATAACACTGAACAGAGATTTTCTTTTACTCACACTAACCAGTTTTTATCTGAAGTATCAAGGTAATATTTATAATTCTTTATTAATATGCATATGGTATATGTGCATGCATATATATAAACTGCATGTATTTGTATATATGTGTATTTGTGCAGTTTAAGTACTTTTTTATAAATATGCTTAAGAAAAACAATAAATGATCCTCACAATTGTTCAATCTGAGTTGACCACTTAGCATACTTTTCTCAAATGAGAAACATGAGAGTAATAAAAGTTAATTGACCAGCCGGCGCCGTGGCTCAATAGGCTAATCCTCCACCTTGCGGCGCCGGCACACCGGGTTCTAGTCCCGGTTGGGGCGCCGGATTCTGTCCCGGTTGCCCCTCTTCCAGGCCAGCTCTCTGCTATGGCCAGGGAGTGCAGTGGAGGATGGCCCAGGTGCTTGGGCCCTGCACCCCATGGGAGACCAGGAAAAGCACCTGGCTCCTGGCTCCTGCCAGGATCAGCGCGGTGCGCCGGCTGCAGCGGCGGCCATTGGAGGGTGAACCAACGGCAAAGGAAGACCTTTCTCTCTCTGTCTCTCTCTCTCACTGTCCACTCTGCCTGTCAAAAAAAAAAAAAAAAAAAGTTAATTGACATACCCAAGGAACACTTAGCTAATAGATATTGAACCTGAATTTCCAGAATGTCTTTATAGGAAAATACTCCCAAAACTATTCAACAATATTGTTACCTACACATACTATTCTGAATGAGGTCATATAACAGACCTATTACAAATAGCACGTTTGTAAGGTGTGCAATTTGATTAGTTTTGAAGCATAAACACACACAAAAAATCTCTCAAATATCCATCATCCCTGCAGATTTCCTTGTGCTTCCTTCAAATCCCTCTCTCACTCCCTCTGTTTCCTATTCTCCCATTCCTAAGCAACCATGGTCTGCTTTTTGTAACTGTAAATGAATTCGTATTTTCAGAGTATTATATAAATGAAAGTATACAGCAAATGTTCTTTACTGCCTTCTTTCACTCAGAATAATTATTTTGTGATTTTCAGGCTGATTTTTCTATCAATACCTCATTTACGAGGATATCCTAGTATTTTGACTCTAAAGAGTGATGATGCTGGCTGGGCACTCTGCTAAACACTTAGTACTCAATCACTTGTTGAAAACTCTCCTTGGCCGGCGCTGCAGCTCAATAGGCTAATCCTCCGCCTTGCGGCGCCGGCACACCGGGTTCTAGTCCCGGTCAGGGCTGCCGGATTCTGTCCCGGTTGCCCCTCTTCCAGGCCAGCTCTCTGCTGTGGCCCGCGAGTGCAGTGGAGGATGGCCCAAGTGCTTGGGCCCTGCACCCCATGGGAGACCAGGAAAAGCACCTGGCTCCTGCCATCGGATCAGCGCGGTGCACCGGCCGCAGTGCACTGGCCGTGGCAGCCATTGGAGGGTGAACCAACAGCAAAAAGGAAGACCTTTCTCTCTGTCTCTCTCTCACTGTCCACTTTGCCTGTGGAAAACAAACAAACAAACAAAAAAAACCAGCAAAAAAAAACCACAACACTTTCCTTAAAACTCTAACACATTCTATTAGAAACCTCTCTGTCCTGTTTCTTCATTCCAGACACTTAGTTGATTACATATCCCTCAACCTATCAGACAGTCTGAGTTGTTAAGAGATTGGGATTTGTACTATTGCTCTGTATTTTTACTAAACCCTTTGTCATGTACCTTTTCAGAATTAGTGTATATCTATATTACATACGTCAGACTTTGGAGATATACAAGCCCATCCAAACAACAATAAAATGAGGGTAGTGTTACAGCAAGGTTGTGTGCTGAATGTAACTGGTCCTTGCTACTCCAAGAATCGTCCACAGATGGTCAGGATCAGCATCACCTGGGACCAATAGACGTGAAGAACCTCAGGTGCCCTTTAGTACCTAATAAATAACAACCTGCATTTTAACAAGACGCACATGTCATACAAATACCCATTTAATTTTTAGAAATTAGGAAACAAGAATAAAAAATACTGCATTCATGAGGTAATCTCATAGATAACTTTACAAAGAACTCCAAATTCCATTTTATACTAGCAAGGTGGAGGTAAAAGCAGTAACACTGAAGGGTAGGGGACTCATTGTTTTTCCCCTTTCTTTTTGGACAGTTTGCTGTTTCTGGATTTTTGACAATTCTATCTGAAGAGAAAAATAAAATATATCTGGTAGGTCACAATTCCATCTTTGTTCATCCTTGAGAAGGTAACAAAATAGAATTATCATAGTCCTGAGGAAGACATGTCCATATATTATAGTGAATGTGGCTGAGCTGTTTTTTTTTTCAGTGTATTTTGTGTTGGGGGGGCTTTGTAATTAAAGTTGAAAATAATCATAAGAGGCATAAATTGTGTTATTTAACAGAATGAAATTTAATTACGTTAGCACTTGTTTTGAAAAAAATCCACATAGAGGCATTTTCCTGGTAGATAAGTAATCAAATAAATGATTAATTTCCAACTAAGGATACTATTTGAAGACATACCATACATATTTGTGTGGTTCTTCTTGAATATAGGCCCAGCAAGAAAGTAATAGATGCTTATTTAACTACCAGTACGTTTTCAAGACTGCACCTTTCAACCTAAATTTTGAGCTAATATAGATTTTGCAGGATTCCTACAGTTCTGAAATGCAGATCAGTTCATTGACTGTGCTGGCAGGTGCAAACCCAAATCTGAGTGAGTTTTCTTATCATCAGGCAAGAGGAAGATTGGGAGCAAACACTGTGAGCATTATCATTGCGGGGACAGGGGTCATCATCCTCATCTTCAACCTAAAGAGGAGCTCAGCCTTCAGTGAATATTGTAAGAACATTTATGAAGTTGAGAACTGCTTCGTGGCTTCTTTCTCCACAGTATGTATTTCTTCTAGAAAGGCTAAGATTCTGGCTCCCAATCTAAATAATAAGCCCTTCTTTTCTTGTGAACTCCACCGTTTTCATCACAGAGTACTCTGTAGGTTCATGCAGCCCTGGAAGGTGCCAGTGCCCCTCTCCCCGCCTTGTGGCTAAATCCCTCACGGTTGGAATTATCCACCTTGAGTAACCATTCTGGTTTCCCTCTGTATGTGTGTTACTTTACAAGGGCTGGTATGTTGGGTGAGCAGGGGCTGCTGTAAGGGGAAGGAGTTTTTGGAACACCTGCCATATGACTCAGTCTTTGTGGTTGTTGCTTGTTGTTCAACAGGAAATTGTGGTAATGATGCTGTTTCTCACCATTTTGGGGTTTTGCAGTGCTGTGGCACTCATAGTGCATGGTGTTGGAGAAGAACTCAAGAGAAAAAAGGTAGGCAGGACCCTGGTACTAAATCATGAAATGACAGGCTAAAGAATTTGAGCTTTATCCCTTAAAAATATGGCCTGGATTTTCTGGAACATTTATTTCAGAAAATTATTTATCCAAGTTTCATTATTTTGGTTTCAAAAATCTCATTTTCCCCCATGTATTTTCCTTATTAAAATCAATTATTATTATTAATTGTACTTATCTATGGGATACAGCATAGTAATTCAATACATGTGCTCAATGTGTGATGATCAGCATTCTCATCTAAAATATTTAAAAATTTGATTAACACGTCATCATTGTACATATTAGTGGGATGCAGTGTGATATTTCTCTAAATATATGTAATATATACAGATCAAATCAGGATAATTAATGTTTTCCTCCCCTTGACATTCATTTATGTTTGGAGATTTCCAAGTCCTCTGTTCTATTTGTCCATAGAACACTTTTAATCAACACTCATAGGTAGCACAAATCTCTTAGTATATCCCCTTGACTGAAGGTTAGGAACTAGAATCTATAATTTTAGAAAAAGGAGATGCCTTGAACAACACTGAGCATAAGAAATGAATGTACGGGCAGTGTATGATGGAACCACGCAGGCGTATGGTCTTGTTTTATGTCGCTAGTTTCTTTATTTTTATTTCTACTCTTTCTTTTTTTATTATTCTCTTCCTACTTACTCTGAAGCTGCAGGTTTTTTACCTCTCTAATTCTTGATTACTAACTGTGCTTTCAATTGCTTCACCCATCCATTCCACCTATGATGAGAATCCCAAGGGTAATTTTGATGAGATACACATGTACTTACTCAGATATGACAGATGAAACACACTCTGTGTGTCCACTTTTCTGAAGCAGTCAAGTATGGCCTTCTTCTTTGACCTCATTCCTCCAACGATAAGTAAGACTGCAGAAATGCTGAAGGTCACATGCAGAGTGTTCCCAACATCAACTTAACATCCATAGGCATGATTCCTTTTGGACCCACCTGGGTTGCTAGTCTGGTTTGATTTTATGGAGATGAGGAGAATCATTAGAAAATGATGGGAGAGAATGTGAGATCCAGAAAAACAAAAGGAGAAAAGGTCATCCTTTTGGATGGGTCTCCTAGTGATGGGACATTCTTGGTGATTGATCTAGAATGACTTCTTTCCTCAGGTTCCAGATGAACGCCTTTATGAAGAATTAAAAATTTATTCACCGATTTACAGTGAGTTGGAAGTCAAAGAGGAAATATCTACTCCCACTGATTCATAAAAATCGAGGGTCAAGAACATTCTGATTCAGAATAAAGATCCAGAGAGCTACTACTTAAGGGGCTACTGGGAAAATTTCTGTTGTTTCCACACCTGCTAATTTTGCATTACATTTTTTCTCCAGATGGCAATGTTTTGTTTTTGTTGTCTCTGTTTACCTAAACATACCCTTTTCTCCATTTATAGATATGATAAACCCTACTTTGTTTTATTTTACAATTCCATACCCATCTCTTATGAGAAGTTGACATGTAATAAACAAACTTTCCCTGTGTGTCTGTAACTGTGCAAATAGAGCAAGACTGGCTGAGAGTTGAGTTAAACTTTGATAGTATGATATTTGTTAGTTATTTTTGGATTTTGAAATAGCTACAGGTACACATAATATACATTCATTCATCCATACCTGCGTGTCCACACCAAAATGCATACATATAACACTCACACACAGACATGTATGATTTTCTATATGCAAATATTTTATACCCTATTGATGATAATACATTTTGTTTGCAAATAAAACATAATGTTTACAGATTGATAAGTAGATACTGGGGAGTTTCATTAAATTACTGAATATCTGTTTAGATATATATGTACAACTCAAGAAACCAGAAATGGTGGATTTATTGAATAAGGCATATGTAATGAAAGAAGAATAAATTAATGAAGACCTGAGCTGATATTATGTTGAATGGAAGAGAGAGATCTAAAATAAGTAGAAAAACATAGTGGGTTATCTTGTCTATCAACAAGTTAAAGGAAAAAGTTAAATAAGAAACAATGATGAACAAATTAAGTGTTTGAGTCTAAACTCAAAGTAGAATACTCGATAGTGTTGGAAAAAGTGATAAGATGTAAAACAAAAGTATGATAGGCAAAGGAGGGGTACATATAGTCACATTTAAGCTAGGCTCATTTTTAGACCCTCATTTTGAGGAGACAAAGGGAGATAGAATTGAAAAGGACATAATGGCATTTTATATAAACTTTTGGTTAAGATAAAATTTTGTAAAATAGGTTTAGTGTCATTAGAAGAGAGATAATTTTGAAATGAAGCAAGCTAACATTGTAATGTTATTCTGAAACATAAGTGAAGTAAACTTAAGCTTCACATACCTATAATCAGAGGGAATATGTAAGGATGAAATCTAGAAGGTATAAGTTCACTGTGGGACATTAGACAGTAGGTATCTCCCAGATAGAGAAAGGATAGACAGAGAGAGAGTAATTAACCAATCACAGAGTGTATATGTAAAAAGTCCGTGGTGATAAATCAATTCCAGGTAGTGCAAGAAGATGGGTAGAGAAATTATTGGTGGTGAATGAATTAAAAAGGTAGAGGAATTCTATACTGGAGAGTAAATGAATAAAACATTTGAGAAGGTGTTTAGGAAAAAAAAAGGGAGTATGTGTGAAAAATAAGATAGTATGTAGTAAAATAATTTAGAAAAATAGAAAAATGATTTTTTTGCTGTTGCTGTTTAACTTTTTTTTAACTTTTATTTAATGAATATAAATTTCCGAAGTACAACTTATGGATTACAATGGCTTCCCCCTCCATAACTTCCCTCCCACCCGCAACCCTCCCCTTTTCCTCTCCCTCCCCTCTTCCATTCACATCAAGATTCATTTTCAATTCTCTTTATATACAGAAGATCAGTTTAGCATATATTAAGTAAAGATTTCAACAGTTTGCACCCACATAGAAACACAAAGTGAAAAATACTGTTTGAGTACTAGTTATAGCATTAAATCACAATGTACAGCACATTAAGAATAGAGATCCTACATGAGGAGTAAGTGCACAGTGACTCCTGTTGTTGACTTAACAAACTGACACTCTTGTTGCTGTTTAACTTTTAAATATTTGAGAGGGAGAGGAAGGAAGAAAGGAAAAGAAGAAGAAAGTGAAACAAAGGAAAGGAAGGGAAGAAATAAAGAGAAAAGAAATAAATATAAAATGAGAAAGAGAGAGAGGAAGAAATAGAGAGAAAGAGCCAGCTCCCATTCCTTGGTTAACTCCCCAAGTGACTGTGATGGCCTGTATTGGACCAGGGTCAAAGCCAGAAGCCGGGAACAATCCAGCTCTCTCACGTGGGTGGAAGGAGACACATTGCTTGAGCAGTCCCTATCACTGCTGCTTCCCAGGATCTGCGTTAGCAAAAGCTGGAGTCAGGAGGAATGGGTGCAATCAAACTGAGGCACTTCTATGTGGGATGTTGGCATCTTAACTGACACCTCAATTTGTAAGCCAAGTGCCTAAGCCTTGTTTTAATTTTAAAAGAAAGAAAAATAGTTAACGCCATTAGCCTAAGTAGAACAGTCATGTGAGGAACTGAAAAATTAGTTTGGGAGTGTTGGTCATTTCTGCCTGTCTTTTGTCCACCTGCCCACTAAAGCATGCACAGACCACACAGCTGACATACTCTTTACACTTTCATTCTCCAGATTAATATCTTTTTTTAAATATTTTTTTTGACAGGCAGAGTTTAGACAGTAAGAGAGAGAGAGAGAGACAGAGAGAAAGATCTTCCTTTCCATTGGTTCACCCCCAAATGGCTGCTACGGCCAGCATGCTGTGGCTGGTGCACTGCGCTGATCCAAAGCCAGAAGCCAGGTGCCTCCTCCTGGTCTCCCATGGGGTGCAGGGCCCAAGCACTTGGGCCATCCTCCACTGTCTTCCTGGGCCACAGCAGAGAGCTGGACTGGAAGAGGGGCAACCGGGACAGAATCCGGTGCCTGGACCGGGACTAGAACCTGGGGTGCCAGTGTGGAAGGTGGAGGATTAGCCAAGTGAGCCGTGGCACCGGCCCAGATTAATTTCTAAATTTCAACCTAAAGGCTATTCTCTCCATGAAGCCATCTAATACATACTTCATATTCTTCCAGGGTAGTATCTTGCTCTATAACCACTTGATCACTTGACACAATGTGATATGATTAATTATTAATGCACTTGTTATTTTGTATCCTCAATTACTAGTATCTTTGCAATAAATTGGAACCGCCTGATTTCTCGCCTGTGCTTGTATTTGCGTATAAGGATGAGGTACTAACCAAGGATAATGGAGAATCAGATCATCAATTAAATTATTTCAAGGACCAAGAACAGTTTCTGGAATCCTCATCCTTATCCACAGTTTAACAATTGGGAAATTGATAAGCAACCCATGTGCATAAACATACTGTAAGAATAATCACTAGCCATCTCTTGGCAATAAATGGTAGAATAAAGTTGAAGAGGAACTGGACAATAGTTAGTATTACAAGTTAGTCCTGATTCTAGCTTATTGCTATGCTATGTGGACTTCAAGAAGTCTTTTCTTATTGTGAATCTGAATTAGGAAACAGAGAATAGGAGATGATAGACAGGTGTTGGATAATAGCCTGCTAGATTAGCTAGATGATGCATGATAAATATAGACACATGATAGATAATAGATATACCACTAGATATGCCACTGTCATCTATCTTCTATCTAGGCTAGATAGATGGTGGGTGACAGATATAGATAAATAGATTGAGATGATAGATAGATACATAGATAGATGATAGATGATAGAACATTTATTCATGGTATGGCTCACATGCTTACTGAGGTGAGAAGTCGTGACACACAGTCTGCAAGTTGCAGACCTGGTATGATCATAGCATAGCTCAGTTCAAGTCTGAAAGCCTCAGAACCAAGGAGGTATAGTTCTCAATACCAGGTCAACAGCCTGGTAACTTCAGGGGTCTGCTGGTATAAATCCTGGATACCCTAAGCCTTTGAATTCCTTTCTCTATGTTAACCCAAGGGAGATCAGACATCTCCTTTCATGGAAGGATAGCCTTTCATCTGTTTCAGGCAACTAATCAAATAGTGCCTTTCATAACTCTCTGAGCTATAACCTTAAATGCAGAATATTTGATAATTACGTGGACCTTTATCAATAAACTCAACTTGATCCCAGTTTTTATTCCTTTCACTCTTATCCAAGGTTTTTAAAAACTCATTACCACATATGTTCCCTGGATTTCTTTTCTATAAATTAGAAATTAGAAAGCTCTAGGTTTTAAAAGATTGTCATTGTCATTAAGTACTTCTTGTTATGGGTGATGGAGTATTTAATTATCTTTCCTTAGGAGAGCCATATTATTTCCTTTTACTGTCACATAGACTCTTCATTCAGAGGAGCATGTCTGTGACTATGTTACTCTGATCAACTTCTAAAATTAAATGATTAATCCTTAGCAATTATTAAATGTATAATGTATTATATATACATATATATATGTATATATATACATATATAATATAATATATATAATATATATAATATATATAATATAATATAAATGTATTAAATGAATAACCTACAGAAGCTATTAAGAAGAGTGGGGCATATGTAGGTTATTCATTCATTCATTAAAAGATCTCCTCCTTTAAGGAGCCTATAACCCAAAAGAAGCCCAAAGACACAAAACTCAGTAATTCAGGAAAAATTCTATTGTGTAGAAAAAGGTGCCGTGAGATTCAGACTTCTGAGTTCTAGCATACTAATGGAAGACTCTGTGGACAAGTGAATTGTTGAGATGTGAATTTTGATGTTCACTGGAGAAATTCTGACAATGGGAAGGGGTTCTGGGATGTGTATTACCTTTCAGAGTGTTTCTAGTAAGCAGAAATGGCTGGACACGTATATTCCTGCCTTTAGTTATCTGATGGGGGCTGCTAGTTTCAATGCCAGTTGAAACATCTCTTTAAACTTGAGGCAGATCAGTACAGTTTGTTCATTGCATTCCTCACCACCGACTATCAAGTCCTTTGAAGGAGCTTCTCAGAAGGACATTGTCATATTTAATAGGCGACTACTGAGAGTGGGACATGTGGAGGAAGACATCAGATGAATAAGGCATGAAAAGACTTGACCACAGTGAACAGTGAGGACTTGATTTTCCTTTTGGTAACCTCTGATATTTTTTGGAAATATTCATGCTGACTTTGAACTCTGTCTTGAATCCTGAATTTGAAAGATGGTCACTTACCTGAGTGCCTAGCAATACATTCTAAGTATCCCCAGTCTTATTGAAGAAAATTGTAGAAAACTGGGGTATTTTACTCAGAGAGAAGGATTGCTCTTCATATAGCTTTTCCTTGGAAACTTGGTATTTTTTCTCTTTTCCAGTGAATGACCACTGTATTAAAGAACATAACTCTTAAGGTTTTCAATTGCATTCTCTTTCTCTGATTTCATGTGAGATGGGATTAATGTGAAAATGAGCCACCACACTACTCAGTCTTTACATTGCTAAAATATCTCTGAGGAAATCCTGAAATTGGCTGTTCTTGCCACATCAACAATACTCATATGTGGTCGGAGAAAAACAGGTAGGTCACCAAACAGTGGATAACAGAGATAAGAAATGTCAAGTCATTTGCATTTAATGCACTGAAGGTTTATCATCATTCATCACCTAGGAATATTTCTATTTTATTTATACAAAGAGAAAATATTTCATGTATTTCATATATACAGTTTTAAAAACATGATATTTCC